GCCGTCAGAAAGCGGGAACAGTTGTGATGTTAACATTGAGTACGAGTTGCAAGAGGAGAGCCTAGAGCTGAACGATGTGATCATCGCCATCCCCTTGCCGTAAGTGACTTCCCTTGTCCGGGCAGCGCTAACAAGCGCCGTCCTGGATCCCGTCGGTTCCTTCCCCTCTCCGCTTCGCCGTCTCGGCCACACCGAGGGGCTCGACAAGCGTTTCCTTGGCTCTGTGCAGGTAAGCTATCGTGGCTTCTCCTTGCCTGCTCTAGGTCTGGTGTCGGCGCCCCGGTGATCGGGGAGATCGATGGCGAGTATCGCCACGACAGCCGGCGAAATCTCCTCGAGTGGTGCCTGCCAGTGATAGATGCCAAAAACAAGAGCGGCAGCCTGGAGTTCAGCATAGCAGGGCAGCCAAATGACTTCTTCCCAGTGCAAGTCTCCTTCGTCTCCAAAAAGAACTATTGCAACCTACAGGTACGGTCGCTGCCGGTGCTCTGCAGGCGTGGTGTCACTCTTGCCTCTTTCAAGCTGCCTCGGTTACCCGCTGGCTGAAATCCGCAGCCGCGCTGCGGTGTGTGGGCCCCGCTGTCCCGCTGAGCGAAGGCTTGGGCGTCGGCGTTCAGTTGCCTCTGCCTTAGCCGGATTTGGGAGCAGGCAGCACTGGCAACGTCAGCTTCCCAGAGCTTGCCTGCGGTTTCGGTTGTGCCTTCGTGTCTCTGAGTGATCGTTAATTCCCCTCAGACTTTGTTAGAGAGGCCTTCCAAGCCAAGACGCTTCTCGGCATATGTCTGTCTGTCTGTCCCCGCTGAACTGTAGCTAGCGACAGCCGCTTAACTCCTCGCGGGCCGCTTTCGGCAGAGGCACAGTTACCGCAGAAAATCATTCCCGTTTTCGGGTTTCCTGAGAACAAAGATCTTTCTGTCAGGGTTGACTTGCGGTTCGAAAGCGCTGGGTGAATCCTGCCCTCGTGACCACCCCGGCGTCGGAAAGCGCCGCGTAGCTGCGGGGGGAGCGGCGTTCGATGCTGAGCTAACCGTGCGCCTTGTCTCCGCAGGTTACCAAAGTGACCCAGGTAGACGGGAACAGCCCTGTAAGGTTTTCCACTGAAACCACCTTCCTGGTGGACAAGTACGAAATCCTGTAACGCCAGCCGTGGGGAATCGCAAAGGAAGAAATTTTTAAATTAAAAAAAAAAAAAAAAAAAGAGGCCGAAGCTTATTCTGAATGCTGGGAACGCCGCAGCCCCCTCTCTGCTGAGACGTGTGGCTCTGTCTGCCATCTGCAGCGTTCCTGGGTCACAGACATTTTTGGCAGAGAACTGACGTGCTCGTGGGGGAAAAGGCTACGAATTTCTTTGGCAGATTTTTACCGACCGGCAGAAAAGCAAGATCTCCGCAGAGAACCTGGCTTTGACACGTCCCCTTCTCCCCTGAAGACGACCGGAGCTCAACCCCGGAGCCTACCAGACATCGTTCTCTTCCTTTCCGAAGCCTCACGCGCTGTTCCGCCGTTGGTGCTGCCATTTTAATTTCTCCCCGGCCTTCAACTCTCGTTTCCATTGGTGAAAGCAGGCATTAAGATAACGTGCGCGGGGGCGCCTTGCTTCTCTGGACCCTTCCGTCTGGTAGAAGCGGAGCGCACGGTTCCTGCTCTCTCCAGCCCTGCCGTGCCTACGCCTGGGCTTGCCTCTCTGGCTCGGGGAGGGCCGCGAGGTAGCACAGGCTGCGGCTCCGGATGCTCGAGCTCCTACGGCGGGGGGGAGAGCGTCCGGAAGGGACTGTCCCGTGCACGGGCTCCCTGTCTGCTGCAGCTGCTCTTGGGCCAGGCTTTGGAGGCGGTTTAGCTTGTTTAGAACCAGCTGCCTGTCCTTCCTGCGGCCCTTTCGGTGTCTGGGGAGGTTGAAGGCTTTGCCTGCCTTGGCGCAAGCAGCCGCGGAGACCGAGTTACTCGGCCTGCGTGTCGGGGCGCGTGTGTCGGGACCTGTCCCAAGCTCCTGTTCTTTCTCGGCGCTGGCGGATGGAGGAGAAGGAAACGCTGGTTTCCAGAAAACGTGGGGGCTGATGTGAGCGCGAGCGGCACCCCAGCGCGGGGTCTGCTGTCCCAGGGCCGTTCCTCCCCACGAGCGTTACTTGCCTCATCTCACAGAGCTGCGCTCCCCTCTAAACTCATCTCGCCTGCTTGACGCGGGGCCTGCGGCTAGCAGCTTCGCTGGCCACCGCCGAGGCCTGCCGGGGAGCGCAGCAGCAGCTGCTGCCGGAGCTCCCGAGCGTGCAGATGGAAGGAAAACGCCCTCAAGGCAAGCGTGCCGTGCTCCCGGGAGAGCCCTTCTGTGGGAGCGAGCGCGTCTCGCGTCCCGTGGGCTCCTCTGCCAAAGAAGTTCGTGGTCTCTCCTCCGTCGGCGGCACCCGAGGGGAAGTCGGCCCTGATCCCCGTCCTGGGAGGGCGGGCGAGCAGACCCCCTTCCCTAGCGAAGTAGGTGACGAATGCTGGTAACTCGGTCGTGTTCGGGAGTGGCTCGTCTGTACGATTTTAAAATGGAGTCGAGGTTAGTTCAGGCATCCAAGGAGCTTTCTTTTTCTTTTTTTTTTTTTTTTTTAATT